CGTGTGCCGAAAGCGAGCAAAGGCACCAGGAGCTCGCCTCAAGGACGCAGCGAGAAAGTCACGCTCCGAGGTATCCCGGAGAGGGCTGCTTAGCAGGCGTGCAAGGCGTCCCTGGCACGGCACGGGGACACCGGGGCATCCCCAGATCCCGGCAGACGCCCCGAGTCACGGACGCGAGGTGCTCAGCCCTCCGCAGGTGAATGGACGCCGAAGCCACAGGACGAAGCTGGCTCCTACGCACACACGCGGCAGAAGGGACGGGGTCACCTAACAAGCGAGGGACAGGTCCCGGCCACGCTCTCCAAAGCTCCCCGGGCTGCTCCCAGCGCAGAGACCGGGATGGGTCCCTTCCACGCTTCCTCCGTAAGCCGAGCCAGGCAGCAGCGTTTGAGTGTGTTAATGGAAATTGAGCCATTTTTCCCCCATTTTGGACAGTTTTCGGCAGCGTATCCCAAAGCACAAGGGTTTCCAGCTCTGTTTTCCTTCGCAGGTGAGGCGTTCGTCCATGCCCCCCGTGCCACTAAATCAGACTTCGCCCTTCTGGCCTGCACATGGAGCGAGCGGATAACAAGGTTGGGAATGGCGGGCAGCGCCGGCGGTTGGGCAATGGCGGGCAGCGCCGGCGACCAAACAACAGCTCCCGGGACCACGCAATGGCTGCACTTCCGTGCTGCGGGTGGAAGACTCCAGACACCCCAAGATAAGTCGGGATTTAGTTCAGCGTAACTCTTCATTAGGCCAAGCCGCAGCGTTTTGGGTGGAATGCTTCCAAGAGTTTCCGAAGGCCCAGCTCCCCTTGGCGATGAGACGATGGTGGGCTCTTCCCCCCGGCCAGGACACCGGATCTGGCGGGGGAGACGGCGCTTTGGAAAGGAACAAACCTGCCCTCAGCGGGATGGGAAGGAGGAGACGGAGGGAAGACGTGGAGCGGGAAGGCAGCTTGCAGATGCGAGGAGGAATCCGAGCATCCGGGGAGGGATTCGCAAGCCATTCGACAACACCAGGATGAGATCCG